ATGAGTTTGTATGTAATGTATGAATATAATATACAAGTTTCACTTTTTAAATGGAATTACTGAAATAAATCTACTTTTTCATGATATTCTAATTTTATGACCAGCACCTGTATGTCCTTTTTAAAATTTTAACATGCACTGCTTGGCAGGGTAATTTTTAACGAAGTAATTTGTATGATACTTCCCTTACTTTGTTTAAAAGTAAGTATTTGKAAGGCAGGTTCCACACACTGACCCAATTTATATCATTTACAACATTAGACCAGTGATGAACAACATAGGGAATACTAGTAATGTCTCCTTGAAGTAATGACCTGATGTTGYCATTATTATTCCTTGATTTGACAGAAAAGCATAACCTACCTACTGAAGTTGTTAAGATATCAAATGATGGAACACAGATTGGTTTCTCAGCATTCCTCAACAGTGTTAGAACACCAGGAGGAATAGCATCCATAACTATTGCAAATTCTTTTGGGGTTACAGGAATATCAAATGTTTGCAGAAATTCAAAATAGTTAAGCAGATTCCCATTTTCATTAAGTAGCTGAGTTACCAAAATTATGTTATTATCAAACCAGGAGTTTTTTTTAAAAAATAGATCTGTTTTTGTATCTAATGACGCAATCGCGGCATCCCCGCCCCCGCGCGTTGTGTCCTGACGATCGTGCACCTCAGAAATTCTGATATGGCAAGCCGTACGTACCACTAAACGGGCACTTTACAACGCGTTGTAAAGTGCCCGTTTAGTGGCACTTACGGCTTGCCATAGGTTGGTGACCCCTGCCCTAAAGGTACAGGAGAACCTGCTTTGATCGACACACCTGAATCTAATTACAGGTTTTCTGAGGGATTCTGAGTTTCTGTGAAAGAAAGTGAATTTTGTTGTAATTATGCTGTTTCTAGGAGCAAAATGAACTCTTTTTAAATGCATTCTTTATGATTATATTGACATTTCTTTGAGCACATTTTCTGCAGAGTTGGAGGGGGCTGCAGTTGTCTGCTGCCGACTGCACCACCATCATCACCAGCTCGTAACATTACGTCAAAATTAATAATTACGTTTTCAGAATAAGGACAAGATTTTCTAATGTGGGGTTGTATGTCCGCAAACAGCTGCATATGGGCACAAAATATTATCAAACAGGATTTTCCATCATTTGCATAGAGCATTATTTAATTTAAAAAATAGCAATACATCCGGATCAAACCGGTTCAGTTTCACCATGGTACAGTACATCACACATTTACAATATTGTGAATTCCCTTTTGAAAAACATGACAAACTACGTTTCAAATAAAAAATAAACCCCAAACATTAGCAATGCGCACATTTTCAGTTGTAATTCTTTCAGGTCGTACACATAATGGAGGATTTGTGCAAACGTACAAACAAAAGTTATAAAAAGTCTAAATGAAAAGTTCATTTCAGCGTGTTCATATGACAAGGATGCACTGTAAAAATCATAGAAGGCAGGTAATAAAAATAAGTTTTTGCTTCCAGACAGGATACATTCATGACTTCTGTGGTCTTTTTTATGTAAGAGCAGGAATGTCATGTTCACGTTTTATAAGACCTAATCAGGTTTCATTCTAGTTTATATCAATCCTCATGAAAACCCAGTGACTGTGACTACATTTCTCATAAATAAGTACAGACTTGTTGCACTGAGAATCAAAACATTTTAGTTCTGAATACTTCTATGCAATACATACATCTTTTTTACAAGTTTTGAATAAAGAAGGCTTTGGGAATAAAATATTCAGGGCAGGATTTAAATGAGGTTTAACAAGCAGCAAAACGCAATTAAAAAATATATATATATATATATTTTAAAAAGTACCAGTCTTTCATTTCAGAACATTATCAGTTTGTCTGCTGATGATTGTAAAGATTATTATCCACAACGTATTGGACATTTTATTACATTTTGCCACATTCATTTCTAAGTCAAAAATGCTCTGCAGTAATGTTTGATCACTGCAGAGCTTTGGTTTGTAAGGTCTGTAATAGTCCTGGTGCAGAGCACAAAAAAAGTAACCATAACTGCGACTCTAACACAAAGAAAAAAAACACGTATAGGTCCTAATAAAAAAAAAGGCTCAAATTTCACCGTCGTCTCCTGCATCATGACACATGCTGCTGCTGCGAGCCAGAGTCAGTGCGTCATGAGGAAGTGACAAAAGAGAAGCACAACATGAACTCAGGATGGATTAAAGGTGCTGAGCGGGTTAACCCTCACTCAGGACGGCCAAGAAGCTCTCCTCTCTCAAAGTTTTGTAGTTTTATTTTCGTTTTTTTTGTTGTTGTTTTTGTTTTGTTTTGTTTTTTTCAGCTTGACATTCATCTTCGATCCTTTCTAATCAGTCTTGTATCGAGTAAAAACAGTTTGGTACCAGGAATGTGTCACAAAACACCCATCTCTGGAAAGAAATAAAACGTTAAAGCGATTCTTAAGAATTTAAAAACTAATTTTTCAGATAAGGCTAAAAAAAAAAGGCATACAACAAGTTCACAATCGTCAGTAAGAGTGATTCTTTCTGTCGTGATCAGAATCGTAATAAAGCATAAATTATTGGTCGAATAAAATGATAAATAAGAACAACTCAAACTGTACAGACAAACACACGGGCTCTGTCACACAAAGCTCAGCGTAGTGGTTTAGGTGTCAATGTGTTTGACTTCAATAATAAAAAAGGTGCAGATGTGTAAGTTTGTTACTTGGTTTGATCACCACACACACACACACACACACCATCAGCCGCCTTAAGTTCACACAGCAACAAGAAATGACACAAATGGCCGTTTAAAGTCTCACAAAGGCAATGGAGACAAAGAAATGCTGAATTTTGCAGCCGGACCAATGTCTTCAAGTTAGATAAAAAGGTTTTTCTCTCTCCCGTGTTCTCGAATCTGCTGCCCTCTCACACAGGGTTTGTGTGTGCACAGCAGACAGAAGGCTAATGGACGGATCCCTCATGCATCCTTTAATTCTGGGAACAGTGCTGGAACTGAGCGAAGCTGAGGAACACTTGCTCCAGAGAGATCTGGCTCACGCAGTAGTCTTCAATCCGGTATTTCTCCTTGGCTGCCTCCAAAGTGCCAAAAACCTGAACGGGAGAGCAGAACAATTATAGAAACAACAATAAAAAATTGAAAATAAACATTTGTTACATAATCACAATTTGTAGACAGCATCTACATTTTCTTCAGTTCTGTTCACATCTAAAAAACTATTATTTCTGAGCTTTTTCTGTTTTCGAAACATCGCCCTACTTTGAGCTACTATGGTAGAGTTTCTACCATTAAAAACAAGCATTTGCGTTAAAAATTTAACACGGTTTTAAAACATGATTAATATTTAAAGTCTGAGTTTAATTAAATTATGAGGTTTATTCTAACTATAATGAAAAAAAAAGAGCTAAAAGGGTATTATATAAACAGTATTTTGCAAAAGTGACAAGTTTCCCAACATTCATAGGTTTCTTTCAACGAACCAGATTATTTTATTATTTTTTTCTACAAACCATCCTGAGCACAGTTTTTCCTTACATCTACCTATTTATTTTTAGAAGAATGGCTTTTATTTGTCCACTAGAGGGAGCGCTTATCCAGCATGTGCAAAAACAAGCGTTTCTGCCTCACAGTTAATCTGTATTTGATGATAAAAATGGGTTACTGTACCTGTGCCCAGGTAAGTGTTTTATCTGTCAAATGATAGTGAACCATTCCCTGGTGCTCATCCTTCAGTTGACTTCCTGTTGTGGCAGAAAAGGATTCAGTTAGACGTCAGTTTGACTTAGTTAAAGTCACAGTTTCTGACAGCACAGACCTGGGAAGGTGCTTTCAATGAAGGCTTTAAAAAGCAGCAGGTCACTGTCCTCTAACTCTGCCTCCACATGCACTTTAGCTAGCAGGGTGTAGCCACTGCCAAACTTGCTCTTCAGGTGTTGGGGGCTCCCGAGGCACTTGAACTGCCCATTGACCATCACCGCCAGTCTGGTGCACAAGGCTTCACACTCCTCCATACTGATGAGAGAAACAGGCGAATGGGTGAGCATCCTCGCCTAAATTTATCACGATGACGTAACTAAATCATTTCAGCAAGACATAGCGCTTTTCATAAAGAACTCACCTGTGAGAAGTGATGATTACAGCTTTACCAGACTCCCGAGTCCGAGTAACAGCGTCCCACAGCAGCCTCCGGGCCACGGGGTCCATCCCTGTCGAAGGTTCGTCCAAGAAGACGACCGGAGGCCCACCGATCAGAGCCATGCCTGCGCTCAGCTTCCGCTTATTTCCACCACTGCAAGTCAAAAGTCTGCATTAGCATCTGCTCAACACGACAGAGTAGCACGACGTGCTCGACCCACCTGTAGCTGCGGACCAGTTTGTCGGCGTGAGGCTCGAGCAGCAGCGACCTCAGGACGTTCTCCACACAGCCAGACACGTACCTCTCCGGTATTCCTCTGAGCCTGGCATACATACTCAGAGTCTCTCTTCCTGTCATGTGGTCCAGCACGGCGTCAAACTGAGGACAGTAGCCGATACGCTGCTGCACCTGAAATGCCAAGAGGAATGCCGCTGTCAGATTTCAGGAGTTCAACACTCAAGATGGGGTCTTTTTTTTTTGTTTATTTACCTTTTTAATGTCCCTCAAGATGCTGTATCCATCTATGAAGGCGTCACCAGATGTGACAGTCTCGTCACCTGTCAGCATCTTAAATGTTGTGGTTTTCCCTGCTCCGTTGAAGCCTAAAAGGCCAAAACACTCCCCCTTCCCCACAGCGAGGGACAGTTTGTCCACGGCCAGGATACTCTGCCCGCTGCTGTACACCTGGCGGGGACAGATAACAGTGGACCACATCTTCATCTCTCGGAGCAGACGTGAACCTAAACAATGAGGTATCTTCCTACCTTGCTCAGCTCCTGCAGGACGAGAGGACTTCCAACCATAGACTCAACAACTGGCTGACAATCCAAAACCCTCTTCCTCTCTTCGGCTACATCCCTGTCCTCGGGAAGGAGCGCTGCATCCTGTGTGTGAGGCAACTGGACACACAATAAAACAAAATGTGAGATGAAAATATGACATACTGCTTCAAGTTTACAGAAACTATTTCAACAATATTTACCAAAGAACTGCCTGTGTTTAAATGTGAAGACTGTCAATCCAGAATACTTCAACAGAAAACAACTGAACTTCTGTTCTGAGTTCTTGTAAACTTCTTAGCTGAAACAATCCTTCAGTTTTTGCCATTTGGTTGGGAGTTTTAATGTCAAATGCACACTTTATCATAAGTAATAAAGATGTTCTTTACAGGTTTAATGAATAAAATACAGAAGACTTAATTACACAACAGACTGAAACAGCTGTAATTCAGTTAAGTTGCTTAGCGCTGCAGCTAATTGTTATTTGATTACAGATAAATCTGAAGAGATTTTTCAGACTTAAAAGGTGACATTTAAATATTTTCTTTACCGACTGGAAACTAAAACAATTAAATTAAATGTCTTTTTCTATAAAAGTAAATAAAATCACTGTTTTTGCAAAGTAATGAATATTAAAACAAATAAAAATGTTAGTGAACTGACAGATGTAGCTCTAAAATGTCAATTCAAAATGCTTTTCAATCACCTTTTAAATTAGTCGCTTTTGGTTTTTTTGGATTTTTTAACGGCAGGAAAATTATTTATACATAAAATCTTAAAGCTGATTATTTAAGAGGCTTAAATACAGCTTGATGCTTTATATGCCTGCTGAAAAATATAATGCTAGAAGCTTGTATAGACTGGTTTACAATTTTTAGGAAAACAGTTGAACATATTTGGCAATATTTATTAGATTTAATTTGCACATTACAGTTGGTAGACCCTCCTTATAACAAAACCTGAAACCTCTACAATTCTGCAAACTCCTTCTACAGTATATGTGCTATAGTCTGCAGGAAGTTAATTACGGCCTGTTTAACCTGCTTCTTGGACTGTTTTTTTTTCTTTCTTTTTTTCAATTATTTTTGTAACAATTTTCTGAAGCTTTAATTGTTTTCTATATTTAAAAAAAGGTCTAACAGAAGCCTCCTTAATGTTTCCTCAAAGCCTCTACCTGTTGACGTTTCCTGCACAGTGACGTGATGAGCCGCCACACAGTGCGGACGCACTGCAGCTCCACAACAAACAGAAGGATGTTGAAGACGGCGCCCTGCACTGAGAGGGACACGAGAAAGCGTCCGATACCAGGCTCGGCCATTGAGAAGTAGTTGGGCTGGTAGGTAATGTCTGGAAATGTAGAAATGATATAAAGAACAAGAAAGTACAGGAGTTTAATTAGCAATTAGATTTTTATTTGTACTTTACAATAAAAACAAACCATATTTTTTCATGCTGTGCTGGGACACTCACTCCACACTTGACAGATGATTTCACTAAGGGGGCTCGAGGTGCAGAATTTGATGAATTCGTAGTTCTGATAGAACTGGCTGACAGACATGCCCAGGCAGTAGTTTGGGAAGATCAGGAACACTTTATCCAGCAAGTGTGACAAGTCCTGCAGGTTTAATTCTGAAAACGGCATTTCAAAAAGACGGTAAACAGAGACGATAAACACTTTGTTTTTCTTTTTCTTTTCAGTCTTTGCATGCGCTTTTCCTTGCTTTTAGTCTTTTTCAGCATGGCAATGTGGGGAGACATCTTCACCTATACTGTTGAAATCACACCAGCGGATTCTTACCTTTCCACATCGAGAAGCTTCACACATCCCACTCCTCTGAACAAATCAAACCCAAGTGCAAATTTCTTGAACACGATTCCTCACTGCCTTCCCACACATTAATACTGACCATTGCATTGAGTAAGGACACAGCAAGGCCAGGAGAGCTGAGCTCAGTAATCAACGTCTGAACATCTGGATCACATCAGACTACAATCTGGATTGGGTGTCGCTTTAAGCCAGTTTAAAGAATTGCTGAGGCAGTAGGAAATGTAATTTAGAGCAAACCCAATCCAAGATGGTCGCCGAAGACGAAAATAGCTAAAACTCAGTCAATTTTACAGATACTAGGGTAAAAGTTGGTGTGGTAGTAGCTGAGAGTCATCCTCAGCAGTTACTGTGACATTGTGCAATATCTCAAAAGGTTTCATCAAAACAACTAAAACCATCTCTTCTCATCATGAGATGTTGGCAGCGTGTGCTAGGTTTTATTTTATTAAATTCCTTTAAATACATATTGTGCAGTTATCAATGAATCAATTCACACCGCCTCTCTTCTAATTTAGCCTTCATTTCAAGCTTTCACTGTTGTTTTACTCAGAAATCGAATTGCTCCTTCAGAAACAGCTGTATGAAAAGAAGCAGCTGACTTATCTGTCATATTCTCCTTTAATCTGACAACCTGCTACCGTGAGTCATTGTTGGCATTTCATCTCTCACCTGGGATAGTCATGATGGTGACAGCCAGGAAGGTGGCGGTGCCAGAAATCATATTGAAGATGGTAAGGCGGGTGTAGGCGGAGGCAGCGGTGGAGAAAAAGAAGCTGAGCAGGTACATCAGAGGTATGACAGCCCAGCCGTAAAGCAGAAGTATCAGGAGCACGTCCACGAGGTGGTTGTTCTCAACAAAAGCCTCGACTCCAAATGCTCGGAATACCACCTGAAGAAAAAAAAACATATTTGGGTGGAAAACAAAGACATCAATTTAAACAAGAACAAATCAATTTTTTTAAGACTGAATCCTCAGTATCTGCTTATTATTTTGTTCCTACATGTGACACTGACCAGCATGAACAGGCAGGGCAGCATGAAGTTCACCAGGTCCCACAGCAGGGCCGACAGCCAGAAGTTTGAATGGTAGACGCCGCTGACCTTCTGCACGTGCTTGGACTTGATGGCGGACTCGGTAACGAGCAGCAAGGCAAAAGTGCTGGACAGGGAGGCCATGCCGTACATCAGGTTGATGGCGATGGCAAAACCTGTTCTGCTCCTACAAATGGAACACAAAAGATGGAGACAAAAATGACATGAAAGAAGTGATGCCTGTTAGTTCACATGTTGCTTTTTATGTTGTTGTCTCTTCTCAAAATCTGATACGACTCATTAGTTTAGAGCATTTTAGTTTCTTCGTCTTAATAATACCCCCGCCCTCCCTCGCTCACTCTGTGAACTGGCTCCGTGCGGCCTCAGACAGATTCCGTGGCATGGGGTAATTGCTGGTCTCGATGGAGGCATTGGGCCCGGCTAAAAGTTTGAACAGAGCGTTGTCCGCCATCATGAGGGCCGTGGCCAGCGTGTGGTAGCCCTGGTTGTTGAAGTAGGCCGTCACCTCTGAAAACTGAGCGAGGCCGCGGAAGGCAGCCCCCACCACGCAGCGCTCATTAAAACTGCTGCCTTCCCTCTTCGCCTGGGTCAGCACGTAGTCCATGAAGTCTAAGTGGTGAAAGGCAGAGACGACACATCGACAAAAACATTAATAGAAAAGGTTCAGAAGCTCTGAAACAGCCCACACATTTTCTAACAATGAATACACCTGGACAGAACTGGTTTGTTCACCATTCAAAAGTTGGTTTGCAACTGTTTCATGTCTCTGTGGTCAATTATTACCTCTCTGTAAAAGGTTCATTTCTATTTGTAGTATTGCATTTTGTTTGTGTTTGGTTTCTGGTCACTTGTTTGTTTCATTTCTGTTGCTCTGACTCACAATAAGTCTCTTTGTACTTGCTTGTACACAACCTGTGCCTTTGAGTCATTTGGAGTCCATTTGTACGAGTTTTACTCTCTTTGTGGTTGTTTGATTTGTTTAATCATTTTGTTTTTTTGTCAGATTTTCTGTTTATCTGTGTCCTTTTTTTATAAGTTTTGAGCCTACAGAGATTGAGCAAAGTCAGCTGTGTGGCAGTAGATTTTTAAATTTTAGTTGGCCGTCTGATCCACACACCTTAAAGTTGTTTGCTAACAGCCAATAAATGCCATCAGAAAAAGGAAGTAGCCATATTTATGGCTATTTGAGCAGAACAGGGCCCTAGAAATGCACAGATCTGAGCTTCCTGACAATCATGCCCTCAGTCCAGTGGCAGATGCTGGTCTTTCAAGGAGGGGAAGCTCAATTTCGGCCTACATCATAAAATGTGTCTGTTTATTTATACGTAAATTCTACCCTCCGTTCCTTTTCAAGAAAATGATCTGTGACTCTGACATACCAACAAGGCGTCTTTCCCAGGGACTTGACCAGTGTCCTCTCAATGGCCAGCAGAGCTAGGCTGCTTAAATGGCCTTGGCCCATGGTTGCAGGTGTATGACTGCCATTATGTGCAGCTTGCTACCTAGCTAGCTCGCTAGCTGGGACTGGCGCAAGGCTAGAGTGAAGTGTTTCTGCCTGTGAGTGCTTTGTGACAGTGGAGGGGCTCAGCATTACCCGCTGGACAGAAACTGCGATAGAAGTCAGAAAGAGTGATAGAAGTCAGTCTCCAAACAAAAGCAGCTACATAAAAACCCACCAGAAATAGAAGCTCGATTTGTTGCTAGTCATTTTTAACAAAGAAAATGTGGCTAAAAGGATTAGTAACGTCTCCGGTTCAACTCAGAACAGAATGAAAATTTTAAAATGCTCCCACGGATGATTACACCAAAAGATCGCTGATTGGCTCATTTCGCTGTCAATCAAAAAGGGATTCCGCCTCAGAAAAATCATCTAATCATCATGCAGAAGCTGAGCATCACTTCGCTGCACTCTTTGCTTTGCTGTTGAACTCTGTGGACGCTCAGCGTCCGACTGTTTAAAGCACTGTGAAGCTGCGGGAATGAGGGAGAGGAAAGCAGCGTCGTTACCAGTGATAAGAAGCTGATTCTGAACAAAAGTTGAGCGCACTGTAGCGCATATTTAGTCAATGACATGTACACACAACAGTATTTAATCACTTATTTTCTTGACATTTTAGGGGAAGCTGAGCTTCCCTTGCAGTCTTAGAACAATCGCCTCTGCCTCAGTCTGTGGAAAGACAATGAAGGCCTCCATCATCGTAGTCATTATTTGAAAAAGGTTGTTATTGAAAAGCACAAGGGCAACGTAGCCTTATTGTTTTCCTTAAATTAGAAGTTCTACCAAATATCAAGTGTAGTACTCATTAGTATTTAGTTTCAGCAAGTAATCAAATTTCAGTACTAGTACTTGGTTTGAAAAAGAAGTTATTTTGGAGCATCCCAGCTTTGTCCCATTTTGCATCTTATTGTCGTCGTGCGTCTCGCTGTTGTTATTTTGTGTCTTGTTTAGTCTCTTTGTAAATACCTGCAGTCGTGTCTGAATGAATCTACATGAACAAGTGCTCTGAAAGTCAAATCCTTATTTTCTAATTCTACTGACCTGTGATATTGACGAGTTCTCCAAGCTGGGCTGAGAGCTGGGTGGCGTATGTGTTTGCTAAGTCAGAAGCAAGGGGACCCGCCCCAGGTTGCACAGCAACGGGGACCTTGGTGGGACCATAACGACTGAGGGCCAGATCCAACAGAGGAGCATTCTGGTGATTGGGAAGGGTTCGTGCCACGACTAAGGCCACAATAGTGAAGATCAGAGGAACCAGGAACTGAGCCACCATCACCTTCCAGTTTCTCCAGCTGTACAGTGCCCTCTTCAGAAACATAGCATAGAACTGCTGCAGGTAAAGTCTCACCTGGTGGAGGACAACACACACAGGCTGGTTAAGTCATATGCAGACGACAAAACAAACCACAGTTTGCATCTAGTCTTACCCCAGTGTTCAGCTTGATGTTGGAGCCATCCTCTGAGATGAGCGTGCCGCTGTCTGTGAAATCAGTGACATCTGTCAGGGCGCTGATGCTGCTGGCATCGTCCAGGATCCAGTCATGGGAGCGTCTCTCATGCTGGTACTGCAGGGCTGGCAGCTGGATGGCCTGAATGTCCAAACTGGAGTCCACCAGCTTCCCAACTCTAAAAGCACAATCACAGGTTATCCACTTCATTTCAGCCTAAAGGCAAAACATAAAAAAATTAATCATAGGGGAACAAAAGTGAAATTACTCTTAGTAGAGTTTAAAATTACACAAAAGTTTGTTTCCCAATGTTAGGATACAGATAAAATTTTACACTTCGCAAAACAACATCTGTAGGAATAGGTTTATAATGGTTTTTTTATTATTATTATTTTACTTTCAAAAGCTCAGTGAGGTAAAAACAGTAAACAAAACTATTTCAGAGCCTTAGTATTATTTTTTCTTGAAAGAAAAGCATTTGCACAGCAGGCCACGCTGTAAACGCACACTCATCTTGTCAGGTACAAAGTGTTTTTGTGTGTTCACACAGGAGCTTTGTCCATCTTTTTCCACCAGGTTAGCTTTAGTATTCCTCAGTTGTACAATGAAATGTTAAAAAAGAAGAAGAAAACATCTTCTCTATATTTAATTGCAAATAATATGAAAACATGTTTTGTGTTTTTGATGCTCAGATCCAATTCAATTTAGTTTTAATTTTTGATGTTTTGTTTTTTTTAATTCAGTCTTTACACTGTTTATTGCTAGGTTATCTGTGAAGAATGAGCAGCGGTGTAATATTGCACCTGATGAGGCGCTGCATTTGGCTGAACATACTGACAAACAAAAGGCAAGACTGATCCCGGCTCAGTTTTGTTGTGTTGTGTAAATGACCAGCACACACTGCTGTTCTCACAGTATGACTTGGAAATAATGAGACTCAGAGCACTAATTTTTATCATTTAAACTGTGGACAATTGAAGTAGCATGCAATGTTAGTAGATGCAGTTGTGCTTGTTGCCACAGATACATAAATCAAACCAATGAGAAAGAAAAAAAAAGTGTAATAGGTGAACTGTGAGCAGCTGGAACTCAGATTCATGAGCAAAAATAAGAGAAAATATTATTGTTCTGACAAAAAAACCTGTCATGCTTTCTAAAAAGTATGTTTATATAAAATATTTAATGTAAAAGAATCCATTTTCAAATGTAATCAGATTTTCATTTAAATGCTGCCAATTTGCAGGAATTTTCATCATCTGCGTCATTAAACTGAGAATGTACCTACATGTGGGAGCATTGCTTCCAGAATCACATCCTACTGATGCAAACGAAAACTAATTTGAACATTTACCTGAGGAAAACCTCCTCCATGGTGGTAACTGAGGCTCCATAACTAGCGATGCCCAGCTTCTCTTTGTTCATCTCCAGCTCAGCAAACAGCAATTCAAATCTGACAAAAATAAATAAATAAATAAATTATACATTTGTAAGAATAATGAGTCGTGTTCCTATTAGGCATGGGCCAGATACTGGTTTCATGGTATACCGTGATGTTAAAAAAGTCGCAGTTTCAAAACCACTAAATTTTTCATAACGTTCCTACGGTATAAGCATCCCCACCCCACCTACCCCCTCTGGTCCATACAGCTGCAGACTTTACCTCGTGCACCCCGTGATGGCTAAGGGAAGAGTTCCCCAAATTTTCCCTGTCTAAAAGAATAAAGCCATCTGTATGAAAATACTTAGGATGCCGTAAAAAGACTTACAGCAACGTCTTGCAGACAGTGTTGGTACCACATCTAACAAGATATCGCAGCAACAGGTAAAGTTTATGCTATCTTGAAATGAACGAGCTAACTTTAGCATCAGACATTAGCGAAACATGTCACCCTGTTGCTGTGCCACATTGTGCCGGTCACAACTTGTCTGCAAAATGGTTTTAGAGATGTTGGATTGTATATTTGATAAATTTCAAGTGAAAAGTGATTAAACAGAATTCCGTAGCTTCAGATGAGCAGCTCTTTAGCGCAACGTGTGTTTTATAAACACATGTTCATAGCTGTGATTTCTGTTGTTTCTGTGTGTGAGTAATTAAATGATCTTTAGGTCAAACACCCCTTTGAAATTAAAAACACAATCAAAACTCCCAATGTGGTACATTATTTCAATAAAAAGACCAGTCATGCAGTATACACTGATTTGACTTAACTAATAAAGCAGTAGAAAAGTAGTTATCCAATTAGATGTAAACTTTATCAGGATAACTTAATTACATTTGGTGCTAAAAATCACAAGCATAAATGCACACAGGTAAATAAAAAAAATCAGCATAAAACCTCTGTGATCTTAAAACAAGATAAAGTGGAATATGATGATAATAAAAAAGTTGTTTCTTTTTTTTTTTGTTTGTTTTTTAAAATACCAATTTCAAAATAAACCTTTTTAGAGCTGTAATCATAATACCGTGATATTTTTACCCAAGGTTATCTTACAGTCATAATTTCATACCACCCCATGCTTAGTTTCTGTTTATATAGTTTTATAATTTCTCAGATTATTCTCCGTTCTGTTCCCTTTGTAGCTTTTGCTCTGCTTATTTTAGCTTGTGTCCTGTTTATTAAGACCTGTGTTCTGTTCGTTTTAGCCTCTGTTTTGGTCATTTTATCCTGTTTATTTTGACTTTAATGATTCACGTTTTTTCTTCTTTAGTAAAGTTGTTCATTTTTGCAGAAAATACAATTTCTAGTTCAGTTTTGTTTAAGAGTGCCTTCTAATTCTAAATCAAAAATATATATATAAACAATTGGACAAATAGCTAAAAAAAAAGCTGAGGGGAATATCCTTTCAAATGTTGATAAAAAAGAAATGATCAATTATACTTTTACCACTACAATAACTGAAAGTGCTACAGTGAAAGATTTCATGATCTGCATTCATTAGATTCAGATTTTTATCATAAAAAGAAAAGTGTTCTAATGCTATTATATAAATTTACATATCCGTTTTTAGACATGCAACTCTTTCTGACCTCCTTTCAAAACAGTTCAGAATAATTATCATTAAACCAGTGATTTCTGCTGGTGAGTATAACCACACTCACTGTAACCATCAGGCCACTTCATGCTGTGTAATGGTGGCTATTTTATTATTATTATTCAGAGCCACAAACACTCACCTGCTGGTGCTTTCTTTGGGCAGAATATAAGAGAGCTCGGCTCCAGCGCTGCTTTCCAGTGTAGCATTAGGAACATACATGTGAACAAGGCGGGTGATCTCAGACACATTGCAAAGAGCATCCTTAACTATCACCATGTGGTAGCCAGCACCTGAAAGGCAGAGGAAAGAGGTATACCGGTTATTGACTTAACACAAATGTATTACCATATTTTTTTATTTCTATAATTTTTATTAAAGAGTCAATAGTCCTGTAAAACCCTTAAGAGTGACATGTTGCTCAAGTTTTTTCCACCTCCCTCTCAGCGTACCGTATTTGTTCTTAAGGAAGAGTGGCGACCCGCAGCACTGCAGCTCTCCTCCTGCCATGATGGCGATACGATCGCCGAGTAAGTCGGCTTCATCCATGAAGTGAGTGGTGAGCAGGATGGTGCGACCTCGCTTCTCTCCCTGCAGCAGGTCCCAGGTGGCACGTCGGGCCGACGGATCCATACCCGATGTGGGCTCATCTAACATGACAACCTGGAGATGAGAAGAAACAGGTGATGAGGAGTTCAGGGAAAAGCAAGCAGGAAAAACAAAAGAATCACGAGTAGGCCTGTCACGATAAATTTTTCCCAACGATAAATTGTCTCAGAAATTATTGCGATAAATGATAATATCATCTGGAGACCATTTTAAACTAACACAATTAAAACAAATACCGATAATGATACCATCACCCACCCACACACACACACACACACACACACACACACACANCACACACACACACACACACACACACACACACACACACACACACAAAAGTTACAGAAGTTGACAAATTTTCTGTATGTAAAACAAGATGTGGACCTGAGATCGGGGAAACAACACAAGAGCAGCTGCTGAAGCTGTAAAATTGCTACCAGCCTTCTCTATCCAAGCCAGCGCAATTTATTCTTTTTGCCTTCCTCTGGCTTTATAAAATAACTGCCATCAACCCCCTTGCTTCTTACGAAGTTTACTAAATTTCCGTCATGTTAAAAAAAAAAACTATTCTTGGCAAACCCAAGCTTCGATACAGTGCCCTGAGGAGTTGCCAGTTGAAAGAAGGCGTCAGAAAACCGAAGACGCTACTCTGGCTAAATGCCTGTTCTTGGGGCTCTCAGGCTACAGAGGTTTATGTGACCATACGCCTGGCAAATACCCAACGTCAGAGATCACTCCTCACAAACAAGCAGGCAAATTAAAACCATCAACCTAATTTTCTTATTCACCTAATTTTTCTTTATCGTGCCCTTAGTTGATTTATTGCTTATCGCGACAGGCCTAACGAGTAGGGCTTTTTTTTAGTGCTCTTAAAGTTTCTAACCTTGGAGTCACCAATGAGGGCGATACCAATGGAAAGCTTTCTCTTCATGCCGCCAGAGAGGGTCTTGGAACGAGCCTGTCTCTTGTCTTCAAGGTTCAGGATGCGGATGATCCGATCCACCTCACCTGGGATCTTCTCTTTGGGGTAACCTTTTAGCTGAAAGCAGAGAGGATTAACTCACTGAGAATCTGCTCTGACCTCCTTATTGTTTGTGCAGTGCATGCTGTGTTTACGTCTTCTTAGAGGTTAGCGGATAAAACTAATACCTGTGTGTAGAAGAGCAGGTGCTCTCTCACTGTGAGGTTATCAAAGAGCACGTCGTGTTGTGGGCACAGACCCAGACTGCGTCGTATCAGAGTCATGTCCTGACCGATGTCGTAACCGTTGATGTAGGCTCTGCCACTTGTGGGGGGAAATAGACCTGAGGTGAAATAACGAGTGGGTTAATAGTGTTAACGTGACATATTTAATGAGGGCTCGCTCGCATTTATATCTGAACTGGTAACCTGTAAGCATGGACAGTGTTGTCGTCTTTCCAGCACCGTTGTGTCCTAGCACCACTGTGATTTGGCCCTCGAACATGTTCAGCGTCAGCTCTTTTACAGCTTGTCGCGTCTTGTTGCCTACTTTAAAATCCTGTCAAAAATGAAAAAAAAAAAAAAAAACCCAAATCATCGCCTTTGGATAGTCAGAACACAGACAGCTCTGTACTTAACTGGACATGCTGAACAAAACAGTGTTGTGCTACTCACCTTTGTGAGGTGTTTAATCTTTATTCCAGAGACAAGTCCAGCAGGCTCCTCCTCTATGAACTCTCCTTTCAGAGCCTTTTCTGCATCCTCCTCTTCCTCCTTCTCATTTACCAAAGCCATGCGAGGGGTGCTGCACCAATACGAAGGCTGCAAATTTGGGAATTTGAAAAGGGTAATATGTAAGAGATCTTAAATTGGCATTTTAAATGTACAGCATAATAAATGATCAGTGAACTGAGTTGACTGTGGGGTCAAACAAGGGAAGCAGAGGAACCCTGCAGACCATTATTATTGTTGTAAATGTACACTAGAATGAATTGTTTCCTGACCAAACCCCTCTTTGCTGCACTTCCTAAGAATCAAAGTCGAGCCTCCCTGTTTGGTGCTATAGAAGCAATATCCACACACACAATGGCTGCAGACTGAAGTGCGTCAGCGTCTAAACCCCACCCTGCTGGCAGTCTCTTGAATTCCTGACCAGTGGGAAATAGATTAGCATAAGTTTATTTTTTGTGTAAGAATGTGTGTGTATGTGTAAAAGGAACACCATTTCGTGACCGTACAACGTTGTTGCAACGATAAACCGTATTTGAGTTGGCTGGAGAGACCCAGACGTTTCCTGTTATTCTAACTGGCTGAACCTGAAGACTTCCTCCAGCCAATATGTTTGGACCTCCTGTTTCAAAGCCTCCTCCACACCTTCTGTATCAGAACTGCTTTCACTGAGAGCAGATGTGATTTTGGGCCCCTGTAAACCAAATTGACGTCAAGAGTTGCAGCTATTGTAGGTCTGTATTGACACAATTCCAGCAAGTGGAGGGAAAAAAAGGCTCTTAAATTCACCGCAAAGAAGACCACCAACTGTGAAATTCAATGCACACTTTGCCTCTGCGCAAGCGGGCGCAACTTTTGCAAGCAACAATGAAATAAAAGTCAATATGCTATTCAACAGGTTATCTAACATAGTACTGGATTTTTCTGGCTGTTTTAGACAGATACTAACACACCTTATGTGTACATTTTAATAAAACATGTAAGCTTCACACACACATTAACTTGCTAGACTTCAATCAGTTTGCTGCCAATCAGAGTGGTTCTTCTCATTGGCAAACTCAATATTTCAAACCAACAGGGTCCAAAAAGCCTCGATGAGATCTGTGTGACAAATGTTATCTTCATTCCTCACATCTAATTATTAGCTCGACGTACAAGGCCCATTTAAGGCAGTTTAGTTTTGGAGGAAATGATTATTACAAGAGGTGGGTGATATATATCGCAGACGATATTATCGTCCATGTTGCTTTGAAGATATGTAATTTTACGTTATCGAATATTCATTCGATCTCAAAAAGACAACAAATACTGTGGTGGCATAAGTCCCCATTCGTGGAATATTTGCCACGGAAACCAATCAGCGGGCAGGATTCAGTCACGTGACTGGGTCAGCGGCAACTGAAGTAAACAGTGGGCAGAATTCATTCTTGGACTCGCGGCAGCCAAAACCACGGGGCTTAAAGTTCTCCGTCGTTACAACAGATTTTCGTAATCAGATTTGTTCACTGAACTAAAAGTTTACCCCCTCCTTGTCATCCTGGAGAACATCACCATGTTCTCTAGGAGAATGTGTTTCAAATGTTTTTGTAGTTTATCATATCCATAGATGTCATAGTAAGCAAGCAGGGTATGACAGCGTGTTTTTTTTCTTCTTTTAAAGAAAGATATAGTCAGATTATCGATATCGGCAAATGAAAAAAAATGAGATTTTTTTGTCCGTATCGTTCAGCCCTAATTATAACAGAGATTTTGACAGAGATTACTAAAACCAATCTAAGCTTTAGGGAATATTCTGCTTGCATGCAAATTCCTCTTTTCAGCTTTAATCCTTTTGGGTTTGAGACATAAACCGACACTAAATTGAACAAAAAACTCAAATAACAAATGCATATCTATATTGGTGTATTTGGTACATTCCTCAACGAGCAGCTCATTTTAAATCATACCAGTAAAAAGAAATAAGAGGGTAGAGGCACTCCGTACTCCCCAGGAAAAACTGCCTCTATGTACCAGGTCACGAGTCCATAAAGCACCGAGTCAAACAGCAGCAAGCACAGAACCTGGGCCATGGAGAAATCATCGTCCACCGTCACAGAGTCAAACAAGTTGGACCACTGGATTCCTGTCCCTGAAGAGGTGGATGTCGATGGAAAAAAATATAGTAAATTTTAAAAACACAAGCAATTTAGATGTAAAAACGAACATAATGTATTTATGGACCATGATTTGACCAAAACCTTCAGCCTCACCTTTGCCTTCAAACATTCCTATAAGTTGTGCTCCCATGGCCATGGCCACATTCGAGATAAGGCATGCTGACACCTTTTGGGCATGGTTCAGTAAGTCATAGCGAGGCCACAGGAACAAATAAGGCAGGTAGCTGAGGAAGTAGATGAAGCCGCCTGCTGCTGCCGCCACGTTGGCTGACATTGGAAAGTACAGAATCAGTGTATCAAAAAATGAAAGGAATTTTAAAAAGTAAAGAATATAACACACAGATATTTGTAGACGTGAACAAACATTTTTTTGTACCCATTTCTCTGATTGTTGAAAGAAACATTATGGAGCAGAAAGGAGAGTGTTAGGTAAGGCGAGCAGGTAAGAATGGTAGACTGTTAGGGTCATTTTTGCTTTCAGTTCTAAGAAAGGATGACAAGAACCCTTCAAAGACCACTTGTTGGAGACAACGTGACATTTTGAGCCTGCTTGGAACATGTACCGATCAAGTGCCATTATCTGTTCCTAAAAAGTACATCAGTGGGTGGACGAGTGTCCAGGCAACAACAATGTCCCAAAAGATCCTAAAATAAAGACAAAGTAGTTCTTTTTAGAGCTTTATGTCACAAATTAAACAACAGATCTGCAGCTTTTCAGGACTTTCGTTCAAATATGCTGTTTTTGTTGACAAAAGAACATTAACCATTTCAATCAGTCTAATAATTATTTTAGGAATACTAAGTCAATGCAGAGAAAGTACCTGCTTACAGAGGACTGCTTTACAAGGAAGCTAATACCATTAGCCTGACAAGTATTTGCAATCTGAGCTGCTTTGTTCGAGAGAAGTGAAAGGGGAAGGATTTTGGTTTGAAAGAGGAGCTTTGACTGAGTGAAAGAGCAAAAGAGGGAGGGAGAAGAAAAAAACGAGGTTTAAATAGTTTTCTTTATTGCTGAGGTTGTCCAGGCTGAGGAGTGTTCAGGTTTTAAATGACCGGAGAGACGTTCCAACTTACAAGACTTGTTTTACAAGGAGCAAAACATTTCTTTTCATTAAGGAATGTCCCAACACAGGCATCTAAACTTATTTAATACATAAATATCCCATGAAAAAGTAATAAGAACCGTTCTTTTCTTTTCTTTTTAAACTAAGAGACTACATGAATCAAAGTCATGCAAAACCCATTAGCCTGAACAAGCAGCACAAAGAAACAAGACTGGCATTCAAAAAAAAAGGCTCCACCCACCTCGGGAGAAGAAGGCACTGATCATGAAGCTGAAGCTGATGGTGGCCACAGTGAAGACGAGCAGGAAGACAAAGACCAGCGTGGGATCACTGTGGGTCAGCACCGCACCGTTAGGGCTCACCTACAACAGCAGAGGGGGTTTAGTTGTGTGCTTACATTCTGATTTATCACTTTCAGACAGTGGGTGACAAAATTTGAGCCTTTTGCTTGAGTAATATTTATGGAAATATAACAAAGTGGGGGTACAGAAGCACAAGTACAAGCCCCACAAGAAGAAATATCTACTTAAGTAGGCGTTCCAGCTGCTTGTATCTTTATTGTTGCTTTTGTTTTACTTTATTAGGGATGTCGTTAAGCTTCAGTCCTAACCAGATAAGGGAATATCATACTGCAAATATGACGCCTATAAAAGTTCTTCTATGCACTCAGGCTTCATCACTAAAAATAAATAAATAAATAAATAAATAAATAAATAAACAGACCTAGCACCTTCCCACGGTGATATGAGACAGTGTATGGAGGAAGGGATGTGACTTTTGAGTGTCAGAGAATTCAACTACAGTGTAATAAATTGGCAAAGATGAGGTTATTCATCATTTTTTATTTGTGCTTTTTGT